ACCTGTATATCTTAGTGGTTTGATCAAATCGTCAAAGAACACAACATACCCAGAGATCCGAAGATCCAGTATCGAAATCGAGGTAGATCTTCTGCTCGGGCGTTCCAACGCCAACTTCGCAGAGATACAAAGAGTCGTTCTGGATGTCTTCGGCCGGTACTTCGCCCTCAGTTGGAGTGCCGTCGCTTGGGGCTGCGGCTTTGCTTTGCGCACCACCTGGTGCCGACGTTTCGTTGCGCTTCTTGAGAACGTAGCGTGATCGCATGCGGCCGCCGATTCGGCCGAACTTGCCTTGCTGCGACATGACCTTGGCTTGGAAGTACGGGCCAGGTTTTGTAGGATGAAAGCCATCTACGCGTGTCAGTTCAGTAGTGGAAGGTGATTTAAGATGTAGGGAATAGGTGACGGACACTTTGTCATGGCATAGACGTAGCTTCTCACTCCAGCGGGCTTGTACGCTGGGCTACGGTGGACCGCAAGGCGTTGTAGAGATGCCATGGTGATGTTAGGTTGATGAATTTGACGGACTTGTGGATGCTGGTGACGAAATTCTTGTTACAACACTGATGCAACAAGACAAATTTGAGAAAGAATTACTTCCCTCGAAGCAACGACGACGAGGCAGCATAAGTACCTCCGTGCCTTCCAACCAACGCATGCATCACGCCCACCTCCAAAGAAGCAAACCTACCTGCCCAACTGCAAACGCTCCAATCACCAGCGCTCGACCAGGAACAGGCGGTCACACCGGCCGGATTGTCGCAGCCGCGATCATGGGCCTACAAGCATGCGACCAAGCTTTCCAAGCTTTTATCAAGCTTTCGTTAAGCTCCGCGTGCCGCATATGGTGCGTCTGAAACAACGCATACGCAGATCACACGCACGATGATGCGCGATGGGAGTACGGCTGTGGCGTTTGCGCTGATAAGGACCCGGATAGCATGACAGGTACAAAGGCTGCTGCGGCTGCGGCCGAGGTGTCGACGTAGTCGTCCTTGTGAAGGACATCGAATCAGGCGACCTGCGAGGCTGGATAGTAATCTGATTGCTCCGAGAGTAATGGGAAGCCTGCTTCAAGATGCGAGTCGAGGCCCTATCGGAAGCCCCGCAGCATATAGCTCTTTGTCCCCGCGTTGTGGATCGCCCGCGATACTAGAATGTGACCACGTCCTCCTACATGCGTAGTGTGCGCTTTGTTACAGCGTAGGACGAGAGAGAGGTTCCTGGGTTGTGACATGTCTTGACTTTGGCTCGTCCTCGTGAAGCGTTGTGCGGACCTTGGTATGTGGTGGTGTTTCGCAAGTCAGGTGATGACGTCATTGGATACGCGTCATCGCCCGCACCTACCTGTTCCGGTGTTAGCAGGCATCTTCTTGTCGCCAGCCACCACGGCAATGCTACTCCTCGCCCCGGGCTGGTACCTCTTCGATTATGTACCTGATGCACGCAGTGTTTGTAAGAATCGGATCGTGAATCTGATCATGTCGCAATGTGAGTAGCGTGACGCTTGAATTCGACGTTATTTTACAAACTTTTCGTGATTGCAGAAGCACTACTTGGGTATATCCTGTAGCAACTTGAATGAGAGACGCATCCCCTGCTTATTGGACACGATGAGATATGTTTCAATCCATCAGTGCTATCCACACACTCGGCACGCTTTGCTCAAGGGAGTGACATAAGTACTAGAGGAGACAAGAGAAAAGAAGGTAGAGTTTCGAGAGCCACAACACCCATCATCACGCCGTCCTGGGCTTGAAGATCAGGTCACATCGATCGTGCCTGCTCCTGTACCCATTCGCCTCAAAGGGCGCCATCGCCTCCGGCGTTGTCTCCGGCGCAAGTTCAACCTTGAACGCCCTGAATGTAGCTGCCAAGATGACTCGCATCTGATACGTCGCCATGTTGCCTCCTGGGCAGCGCCTCGCTCCCACACCGAAGGGAACGAGATGCTTCTTGCGCTCGGCGCTGTATTCATCCTCGACGAGCCATCGTCGCGGGTTATAGGTATCGAAATCGGGGAAGAGGTCGGGGCGCTGGCGAGACATGCTGAGAGACTGTGTGGTGACGACCGTGCCGGCGGGGAGGTGGTGGCCGAGAACGTTGATACCACCATCTGGTACGAGGCGGGAACCTGTAAGGGCAACTGGTGGGCGGAAACGCAGACCTTCGTTGATGCATGCACAGAGAAGTTTGCAGGAGTCAAGCTCTTCGTAGCCCTCGTGTGCGGCAACTTCCTCGTACAGCTCTTCTTGAAGGCTTGGGTTCTTTGACAACTCGTAGTATATGAACGCGAGGGCTGATGAAGTTGTTTCCGTAGCAGCAAGTACCTGACCTGCCATCTCCGCACCGATCTCTGGGTCTGTCCATGAATCCTCGAGGGGGTACTTTGCGTCTGGGTCAGTGAAGAGCTTGAAGACGTTGGCGGTTGAGTCCTCGGCTATATCCTTGGCCTGCTTGCACAGCTCTGCGCCTAGGTCGAAGAGCTTATCACTGGATCGTACGCGGAAACGAGGATGGGCGAATGGGCCGTATTGGAGCCATGCGAATAGCCATTCTGGGAGGCACAGGCGCCAAACAACGAGGAAGTTATACTCGCCGACAACGTGTGGGAATTCGTCAGACTCCAGGTCGACACCTGTGCCGCCCATGACGACTTGGGAGTTCTTGAGAGTGCAAATTCGCAGGTGGTAGACAATGTCTTCAGATTGTTGACCCTCTGTCTTCCCGAGGTTGCGAACCATGGCTTCGATGTTGGTGACGAAGGTGTCGTGCCAGAACTTCATGTTCTTCGTCGTCGTAGCGATCATGACGGGGTGACGTCTTTGCCGCGCGATGGGATGTTGAGGGTACGTGACAGTCCAGTCATGGCCGCCGACACGAAGGGCTCGGATAGATTTTGGCGAAGTGTCGAGATCTTTCCTGACGAAGATCTTCTCCACTGACTCGGAGTCATTGAGAATGACGAGATTCGGTGCGATCCTGACGATGGGTCCATACTTTGTCATGAGCTTGTCTGCCTCGAAAGACAGTCTGCCATGCCAACGCTGCCAGCGGATCCAGGCTGATGTTGCTGAACTGATCCAAGGTCCGGGTATGGCCCGCAGAGGGTCGATGTGGGCCCGGTAGATCATTTTGGTGATCTGGGTAACAGCCATGAGGACCACAATGGCCCCGACGAGCTTCCAGCGAAGCACGTAGGCATTTGACATTGCGCCTTGAACAAGGCTGGGCTTGTCAGTGACCAGCAGGTCGTGAATAGTTTCGTTCAACATGATGAAGAATGCAAAGATTGATCTTCAGAGAATGAAGTACAGATGGATAAGCACGGGACGACATTATATACTTTTCTCTGAGAGTTGAACGTGTATCACCGTTACTCACATTACCTTTTGCCTCGAATGGGAGCCATGTGCGATCAAAGTCAATCCTACCAGCCCGGCGCCCGAGGGACCCTGATCCCCGTCGACCCTGGAGCCTCAAGGTTCGGACCTATCCCAAACCTTATACAAAAAAGGGTTTCGGTAGTTGATGTCACAAAGACGCTGAACATAACTGGGCACTAGAAGTCTACTGGCTGGTGGAAGTATACTACCAGGTAACCGAGATTTTGAGGCGGCCTTGGTAACTTCTGCGCTTTGCGAACTGCATACAATGACCTGATGGTTCCTCCGCAGCCCACACAGCCCTATGGTGATGGACGGCAGTTGAGAAAAAGGAATGTTCGCAGCCGAGGCAAGTGGCAATGTCAATCATGTGGAGAGCACACAGAAGGCCCGACGTGTCGCGATGAAGTACCGAAGCACTGTTGTATGTTCGCCTTGGGTGCCTAGTTAGGTGATGATCGGTCTTCTAAGGGCTCTTGCTACTGAACGAACACTTGTGTTTTGAAGCGTAGCCAACAACGTGAGAGTTAAAGCACCAATCAGTCTACCGGAGAGCTGGGCAGCAGAGCGCGATTACATTCCAAGAGCGTAGGGTTCGCCGTTGATGATCTCAGGTTGATTAATGCCCGATAACGCGGTGGAGAACGAGTTGCGAAGTCAGCGTAGTTGGAATTACTCATGTTCACAAAGGGTGCATGTCGTGGTGATCGCTGACTCCGACGCGTAGACATTGTACTGACCTCGCTGAACCTCGAGGGTGTGTAGGACCTGGCGAAGTTGGAGGCGCCCATCCACGAGCACTCATTTCACATGAAAGATGGTGTTTGTGCCCAATGTGGGTCCATACTTATTCGACCGAAGTGGCGCACAATACGAAGCTCATGCTGCTGCTTCAAGAAGCGAGTGCTTCAGCGATGAGGGTATCGGAGGGCGTCGTTAATGACATCGTGGGGTTAATAAAGTTGTGGTCATGTAAACTATGCGGTGCATGGTTGGCCAATCTCCCAAGAGAGTTCTATTTCTGTTAGAGAAGTCTAAATTTGTGCACATGGGGACTGTTGGTGAAAGCCAATATTGAAGCGATGAACGCACAATCAGGTTTGTTTGCCTTGGGCAACGATTTTGCGTTGCGCTACCACACGACGTCTAGGAGCAAACAAGGACGTTGAAGTAAGACGGTTTCATCAGTACTGTTGTACGTCGTGCAGGCGAACGTTTTGTGCTGTAGGGATCACGCTGCCCGTTCGGCGCGTCCACGGGCGCTTACCAGGGCATACATCCACGATGCGCATGAACAGGAGATCGGCAGGAGGCTTCGATGAGATGGAGACAACTGTATGTGTGGAATCTGGAGACGAGCTTTGACACGGCGCTCACGGTCGTTGTTGAGCTGACTAGGAAGGTCGGAAGGCTGGGCACGCGAGAGCGAGAGAACAGGGCACGCTTTACCGTTTCGGGCGTTCCGACACGCGTTCCGCGGAACTATGACAAGCATAGACCATTTGACGTCACTGACCCCGGTCCTCGAATCTCTCCTTCCCATCTTCGCTACCAGACCTCGCTTCATTTTCCCATCGAACGCATCTTCCCGTCTGCCTTTCGGTCCGTTCCAGATTATTCATCCCGTTTCTTGAGCTGGTCGTTGTCGTTGTCAGCAAGGTGGACCTCCTGTCCACGCAACACCCCATCAGACAGCGGCTTCGGCAAATAGTTCGCAACCACTGGCATTAATGCAGCGATCAACACGCCAAGCCATAGAACGGCAGTCGATACGGCAAATCCCTTCAGGTTGCGTGGTCCCTCAGCGCTGGGCCACAAAAAGCTTCCATATATGAAACTCGTGTGACCAAAAGAGTTGACCAGCGCGATGGCTATCGATCGCTTACGTGCTGGTTGGGACATGACCTCGCTTGTCCAGTTGAGAATCAGAGGTACCGTTGTGTACATCGCACCAGTCTGCAGGCATAGCATGGCATATTTGACTGCGCTATTGCTGACAAAAAGTGCTACTAAAGTAGCAACTCCGGCGAAAGCGAGAAGACCAGCGTTGTGCCATCTTCGGTCTTCGGTCTTGTCAGAAGTCCAGGACCTACCAATCGGTGTACGGTTAGTGGATGTCTCTTGCCGTGCCTTTACAAGGGTTTACTCACCAGAACAGCTGAAACACGGCACCACAACTCCAGATGGGTACCGTCATCCATTGGGCACTGGTGCTCGTATATCCCATTCCTCGAAGCATGGTCGGAATGAAGTACGAAACGGTCAAGGCCAAGCAGTTCGAGGTGTAGATGATCATAAAGAGATATGTTCTTCCGTCTCTGACCACTGCCAGGAATGCTTGAAAGGGGGTGAGAGCTGCCTCATCGATGTCCCAGGACTGGTCTCGATCGCGGAGGATGCGGACGTGAGCAAGAAGGCGTTGCTCCGGAGAAAGCATCTTGGATTCAATTGGCCAATTGGGAAGGATGAAATACACTGACATGTGAGACGGGACATGTTAGCAGTGTTCGCACCTTCGGCGTATGAAGATTACTCACGTCCAAAGCCACAAGCAATGGTAATGATGCTCTCAATAATGAGCAGCCATCGCCAGCCCGGAATACCACCGTCCAGGCTGGAAATTATGGCACCTGCCATAATACCACCCAGCGCTGGGGATACGCAGCCGGAGGTGTAGAAGATGCAAAAGCGCTTGCCTGGAGGATTACGTCAGCCACATATCGAATCCCGAAAAGTCTGTGGCTAGGTACTCACCAACTTCTTTCTTCGTGTACCAGCAGGTCAAGATGAACAACGCGCCCGGATACAGTCCCGCCTCGATTGCGCCCAGGAAGAAACGTCCAATAAGGAGTCCTGTTGCGCTCTTTGTTTGCGACATTCCGAGAACTACGCATCCCCAAACCCATACAATCGTGGCTGAACGGCATTTTATCAGTACTTACTAAGTACCGCTCGGTTGACTTGGTACGCTTACACAAATAGATCGACGGTTTCACCTTCATAAGGATCATGTTCGAAGGAACCTCAAAGATGACGTAGGCCACGAAGAAGAGCGATACTAGCATTGCGTATTCTACACACCGTCAGCTTCTTCACCTCCAACACTGTTGTGTGGTCTGTATTGGCAAACGTACGATTATCCGACAGGCCAAGCTCCTCACTCATGCCCGCCGCGTTGGCGTTGGCAATGTTACTCCTGTCGAGATGGGCAAGTATGTACATCCACCAAAGGATTGGTAGCAAGATGAAGTCAATCTTTCGGACCAAGCGTTTTTCTTCCACAGTATCTGGCACATAGCCTTGCAGTGCTGCTATGATCGCCGCATCTTCGGCCTCCCCATATTGTATCTTCGGGGTTTTCTCATCGGTTGGATCAGAGGCAATTCGTTGTGCCAAATCCAGTGCTTCGCCATCTTTGGAGGTCATGGTCTTCAATTGTTTGGGCTTGGAGGAGAATGACAGGGCGCTCGATGAACAATACAAGAATAGTGAAGCCAGGCAACTGACAGAGACAGCAGATTCACAGCATATGCATTAGTTCTATCTCAAACGGCTGCAGCCTTCCCGCCATCTATCCGTATGGCACCCGTTAACAGCTTGGTGTTATCGCAATCCTACTCGCGACGTAATCAGACCGCCACTGTTGCGAAACAATGACCCCGCTTTCTATCTGTCTCTATCAGCTTAGTATGACCCAACAGGATTGTGAGCGAGCGTGTCCCGAAGCAATGCTGGCATCATGCGGAGTTCGCCAAGACAAGGCCCCTACCTGGCCAAGATGCGAGTGGAGCAGCGCTTATCATACCCGACAGTTCGCTCGACTCTGTCCCGATATCATCATGGCATACTGTATTTCCTCATAGCCATTCGAACAATGCGAACTTGATCAACAATCACGATCTACTGCCAGCTTCTACCACAATCTACTCCAAGGCCTCGTAAACCACGACGGAAATCCAATTCCGCGAAGCACAACACTACCGTCATGTCTAAATCCAGCAAACATGTAGTGTTCGATATCGTCGGCACCTGCGTCTCTTATGATGCCATATTCGATGCTCTGGACCACTCCTTAGGCGACAAGATGCGTGCCGAAGGCATCAAGCCACGACTATTTGGTTACCTCTGGATTGAAGTCACCGAACGAGAGTACACTTATCTCAGCATGAATGGTCGCTACATCACTTTCCGCGAAGTCTTCAGCAGCCTATTCTACCGCATGCTATACATGTCCGGCATCGAGGAACCCCATACTTTCGCTAGCGACAAGGATTTGCAATACATCCTAGAGCAGTACAAGAAGCTTGAAGCGCGACCTGGTGTTGCGGAGTGCTTCCAACTGCTTCGGGATGCTGGCTTCACGGTCTGGGCGTTAACGGCCGGGGATGTTGAGCGTGTTGGAGGCTACTTCACGCACAATGGTATCCATATGCCCAAGGAGAACTTCGTCTCATGCGACACGGCCAAGATTGGTAAACCGGATCCAAAAGTGTATCAAATGATGATGGAGAAGCTGGGCAGTGACGAGAAATGGTTTGCAGCTGCGCATAACTGGGATGTTGCGGCTGCTAAGATCCACGGGTGAGTTGACACTATCCGTCTACCTGCGTAGCTCCATTAAACAGACAACAGGTTCAAGGCTGCGTATTGCACGATATGGGAGAAGATTCGTTGCGACAATCTCTTCGGCGAAATGGATGTCACCGCAGATTCTTTTCCCGAGATGGCTCGTGGTATCATAGCTGCATCTGCTACCGGCTCAAATTAACCCGTTTACTTTTGAAAGCATAGAGATATCAAGAGATATCATGAAGATTGGCTTGTCGCATACATTCGGAGTATTCAACAGCCATGCCAAGTCATTGTCGTGCAGAAGGATTACCACTAAGCATCTTTGTATACCTGATGGGACCATATGTGCATGACCTCCTCAGCGAAGCGAGTAATTACCCTTGCCGATCTATGTTTCGGCAAATGTTCTCCGTCGCCGTTATCGAGCACATCCCCCACTCTATCATCGATAAGAATCAATCATGGAGCAGAACTCGCTAAACACCCTGGAGAACTCCAGCCGTTGAGACGTTCAGGAAGTGGGGAGATCACCAGCGCCCTTTGCGCCGCGGCCATCTCCGTGCCTCATCATGTGCAAACCCATGTACCGTTGTCGAAAGCGGTCTGTAATCTTCTTGTGACCATGTCAAACCGTTGTTTGGGCAAAACATTCGTGGCCTTGGTTTTGACAGTCAGTCTTCTGCGATCCGGCACAAGCACGTTTACACAGCACACATCGACATCTCAACATGAAGAGCGATCGCACACCAGTAGCAGATCCCGTACACTCATTCTGGACTTCTGAACCCAGTCCTCTTGATGACCTGCGGAGTACGGATGATCTTCCCACCGATGCAGACATTGTGATCATCGGTGCGGGATTTGCCGGAATTGTACGTCTCAATCACGAACTGGTTTCTTGAAAACATATATGCTGACTGTAATCTACTAGGCGACAGCTTATAATATTCTCACAACATCGTCGTCATCCCCGAAGCCATCTGTCCTCATTCTCGATGCTCGCAAGATTTGTTCCGGTGCCACTGGTCGCAATGGCGGGCACGTAAAGCCAGATCTTTACTTCAACATTTCAAAATATGTAACTATGTATGGCGCGAGCGCTGCAGCGGAAGTCGCGAATTTTGAAGCGGCGAATGTGTACGCTGTGAAAGAGCTTGTTGAGGCTGAGAAGTTGGACTGCGACTTCCATCTTACGAGAGCGATCGATGTGTATCTGGATGCTGACCATGCGCGGCAAACGAAGATGGCGTGGGAGAAGCTAAGGAAAGAGAATGTTGTTGAACTGAGAGACGTAGCTTGTATCTTTATAGAAGATGCTGAGAGGGTGAGTGCCAGGGTCTTTTAGAATAATCTATGAAATCTTTGACTAATCGTTCTCACGAAGCTATCAGGTGTCAAGGGCGCTCAATTGGCTTTCACTTTCACCGCAGCACACTTGTGGCCACAAAAGATGGTGCATCAACTGCTAGCAAAGCTACTCGAGCAAGACCATAAGCTCAACGTTCAAGCGAACACATCAGTGACGTCTGTATCCGACACTACGGATAAGGCAGGAAGATGGTCAATAGAAACATCGCGCGGCACGATCAAAGCCTCAAAGGTCATCCACGCCACCAACGGTTACGCAAGTCAAGTTCTGCCCGAATACACGCGAAGCATAACTCCGATCCGTGGCGTCTGCAGCCACATCGACAGCCCATTGAAGCAACACGCAGCACATCTCAACAACACTTACGCCCTTCGTTTCGACGGCCGAAACTACGACTATCTCATTCCCCGAGCAGACGGAAGCATCATCGTCGGAGGCGCGAGGCAGCGGTTCTGGCACAAGCCTGAGCGCTGGTTCGACACCGTGCGCGATGGCGAGCTTGTTGATGAAGCAACGTCTTACTTCGATGGGTACATGCAGCGCCACTTCCGCGGATGGGAGGACACGCAAGCGCAAACAAAGAAGGTGTGGACTGGAAGTAAGTATCGTAGTCTCCTACTCATGCGTAACTAACGCTGTGAACAGTCATGGGCTACAGCGCAGACTTTATGCCACATATTGGTCCAGTTCCAGATACACCGGGACAATTCATCATCGCGGGGTTCAATGGTCATGGGATGCCACAGATACTGTTATCGAGTAAGGGTCTGGCTGCTATGGTGCGAGATGGAGTGCCTTTCGAGAACACCGGGCTACCGCGGTTGTTCAAGACGACAAAAGAAAGGATTGAGAGGCGAGATAGCCCACTCGAAGATTCGTTCCGTCCGCTGTGGGAAGAGCATGCCAGGTCGAAGCTATGACGATTGCGTCTCCACGGTCGAGACAGTCAGCCCATGTTGGCTCAGGGTCTTCCAGCATAGGCTTATGAGAGAGTATATCTGACTCGGAACGATTGAAGTCGATATGCGTTGTTGCTACGTAGAGGTATGGTACGGTAGTGAGTGATGACATCCAGGAACCAGCGCGACAAAGGAGATGACAACAGACGCTAACCCGATCGGGCTACCTTGGCATCCAGCCACCGCAGAGTGGGGTCGTGCTGACCAGCCACAACTCCTCATCCCCTTTTCTCTCCTAGACGCCCTTAACGATCCCTCTTATCAACATACACACCGACTGAGTGATGAGCTCGCTAATGCTGAAGATGCTAACACATCCCTGCCAACATCTCTACCCGAGGGACGCAACACCCATGTGCCTACTTGACAGCGCTGATTCGCATGGTACAACATGCTGCAGTCAGCATTCACTGTTGCATTTTGCAGGCAGCCATAGTCGATAGCGTGATAGCGCGCTATGCTCGGTTCGAACAAACCCTTTGAGTATACACATACGCGTAGGTCGCCGGCCCGTTGCACATAATTGAGCGCGCGGCCCTCGCTATTAGCCTTCCATCCATCCTGTCTGCGGTATCTACAACATGGCTTCCTTCGAACCAGAATTCGACCAAGCCTACAATGGTGCGTGCTGAATGTCCATATCCATCATCGATGTGCGTAACTTGCTAACGCGCATGTCAGACCTTGCGTCATCGCTCGAAGGCTCCACGGTGCTGAAACATCATCCGAAGTATAGAGATGCTCTCAGAGTATTCGCCATTCCAGAGCGCGTCATTCAATACCGCGTGATCTGGGAGGATGACAAGAACTGCGTGCAAGTCAACAACGGCTATCGTGTACAATTCAACTCGGCACTGGGCCCTCACAAAGGCGGGCTCCGGTTTCATCCGTCCGTCAACCTCTCAGTGCTGAAGTTTCTCTCGCTTGAGCAAACCCTAAAGAATGCTTTGACAGGCTGTAAGTCTGACATTTCCAGTCATTCAATGCCCAGATCTTTCTGACCATCGCAATAGTGAATCTTGGTGGCGCAAAGGGAGGGTCAGACTTTGATCCCAAAGGCAAGTCTGATCACGAGATTCGTCGTTTTTGCGTGTCTTTCATGCGCGAACTGAGCAAGTACATCGGAGCTGATACGGACGTGCCTGCTGGTGATGTTGGCTGTACCCGGCGCGAAGTGGGATGGATGTTTGGCGCATTCAAGGCGGCAACTACGAGATGGGAAGGTTGCATCACGAACAAAGGTGATGCGTTTGGTGGAAGTCTGATGAAGCTCGAGGCAACTGGGTTTGGGCTGGTTCATGTACGTCAAGCACCAAAACGGCCTGATATACTCGCTAACAATACAATCACAGTACGTGTCCCTAATGATCGAATACGCTTCCGGTGCCACTGAGACTATACGAGAAAAGAAGGTTGCGATCTCGGGCTCCGGCAATGTCGCACAGTACGCCGCCATCAAAGCGATCGACCTCGGTGCAGTCGTCCTTACACTCTCCGACAGTAAAGGCTTACTTAAAGCTATCTCTGTGGAAGGCTTCACAAAAGACGACATCGCCCTCATTGCCTCTATCAAGAAGAAACGCCTTCCACTTTCCGACATTATGGCAATGGAGCAGGGTCAGAGGTTCGAGTATCTCGAAGGCGAAAGACCCTGGAAGCATGTGAAGGAAGTCGATATCGCGTTACCCTCCGCCACGCAGAACGAAATGTCCAAAGACGAAGCAGAAGCACTGATTTCTGCTGGCTGCCGCTTCATCGCCGAAGGCAGCAACATGGGCTGCGCACAAGACGCTATCCAACTCTTCGAATCGCGCAGGGCAGATAGTCCGAATGGACGTGTGTGGTTTGCTCCAGGTACCTTGGCAAAATCACTTCAAGTCTCATCAACTCGCTGACCCCATCCATAGGTAAGGGTGCCAACATTGGCGGCTCGGCGGTGTCCGGGCTCGAAATGGTACAAAACAGTCAGCGCATCGCTTGGCCGGCCGCACAGGTCGAGGCTGAACTGTATCGCATTATTGAATCATGCTTTCATAGCGGTATCGAAGCCGCGAAAAGCTATACGGATATGCGCGCGGAAGAGTTACCTAGCCTTTTCGTGGGAAGCAATATTGCCGGGTTTGTCAAGCTGGCGGATGCGATGCATGCCCAAGGAGATTGGTGGTAAGTCAAAGTATCGGGCGAGTGACTATGAGGGTATTACGAGATCATGTCATTCATTGCTAGAACTATGTGCAAAAAGCACTTGCAGGTATTGAGAAACCGCGATACTAAGAAACCCAAGTCATCACCAGCTCGTAACGCAACGCTCCCTATCGAATCCACCACGCAACTGCCGATCAGGCTTAACAACCTTTCCTTGCAAGACGGTGTATCGAACGATGTTCTCGCAATCTTCAGGCCGGACTCTCGCCAACCATATACACTGCTTTGCTTCTCTCAATGGCACCGTTGCAGCACCTTCCATACTCTCCTTTGCTTGATGAGGTAGCAAAGATGTCCGACGGTACACAATGACATTTGCGGCGAACTTGTGCCCGCCAAAATGACTGACGAAGTGAATACCCACACCCCCAGGTCTCTCGTCAAACGAGTCGCGATACAAATCTCGTTGCCGAAGATGACGTTCGAATTCTTTCTTCAGTAGTGGTGCAGATTGACCGCACCGAGCATCGCGAGTCCGGTGACTACACAGTAAGATGAGGTAGTCATGTGGGCATGAGCGTATCTTCAGTCCGGATTCTGGCGGCACGCTAAGCGAATTCAGCGGAAGCAATGACGAGGTATTGCATGGGCTGGGATTGACGAGATGTGTAATGAGATCTGGTGTCCGGGATGGTGTGACGCAATCAACGATGACGAAAGCTGGGAGAAGGAGGACAGAAGAGATTGGTTCGTCGTCGGGATTCTTGTTGACGCTGTAGTCCGGTACGGGGATGTTGGATGCGGAAAGCATGAACTTCTAGATCAGTTGGTTAGTGATCATTGCTTTTGATGTGGAGGGGTTTGTGTTACCTTCTCGACCATATGTCCATGTGTCTTGGCTATGGCTTCTCCGATGCTGCCTTCCTCACTCATGAAATTGCTGATCCAATTGGCTTTGCCAGTCGCAACGAGAAGATGTCTCTCCCAAGGCATGACGGTACCGTACAAATTCTCGGTCTCATTGATCTTGAACTTCTCCGGGTATGTGATGTCACATGAAGAACAGTCCTGAACGCACTCCGGCCCGTCTTTTGCCGGGGTGGTCGGCTCAAACAGTGGCGGTGGGCCACGGGTCACTTTTGGCAAAAGGCTTGTCAAAAGACTCTCAATTGGTGCGACCTTTTGCGTGACTGGGGTGATGAGGAGGGGGAGTAAAGACACCATCGCGGACGAACGTGAAGACTCTTTGATGATACTGAAGCTGTAGGAAGAAATCTGTTAACGTATAGATACTGATAAGATGCTATCTCGCTTTCTTATACGTCGTCCAGGAACGTCATTGAGGTTGACAATCTCATCGCACGGATGCTCTGGTCAATGACATCATAAAAGTCCAATTGAGCGAACATTGGCACACACATTAGCATGCAAAGTTCGTTCATCAAGATCGCCATCACGAACAATCCCGATCCCACCGAAGATGAGCGATGTTCAGGATGTTGCACGTCAAGAATCCGCTCGACGTGACATCATACCAACTACTCAGCGCATTGATATGATGCTTTGCCTTCACGGGAATCGTAGGCATCGGCTACGATCGATGCTAGAGCTGACACTACGAGCTATGGCGATACGAACCTCCATGCCGCGGTGTACGCATGCAAATGCACAAGACCAATGATGGACCGCCTAAACGCATGCTCGGCTGACGGAATTGCAGCCAAAACTGTCGAAGTCTCCATCAGGAGATACTCGGCCGTTCATGATGAGCCAAGCTATGCAGGTCGTGATACCTGGGTACGTGTAGAGGTCACACCAAGCGATCAGCATGCGTCCGATACATGGAGCGGAAGTTGGAAGCTTACCTTTCCTGCAGTCGATCGAACCAGAATCTTCGATGAGCTGCAGGCGAGCTCCGACATTTGTTATGCGGGGAAATGGATTGCAAATTGGATAGGCGTCAGGGGCGTCAAAAATATGTGGCGGAATACACGGGTTTAGCCCGCGTTGACCGGTTATGGTCCCCGTTGATCCACCGGGTTTTTCGGCACTAGTTCAGCAAGAATGGCATAGTGAGATTGGGTTAGACGGCTTCAGATATACATCTCAATGAGCCACTTTGCTACGAGACTTCACTGTGAGCAATACATGCAAGGCAATCATCATCGCTAGACGAGCGCGAACACAAGCACGCCCACCTAGGAAAAGTTTAAACAGCCTAGAGCCTACGTTAACGTCAAGTCGTCTACTTTACAAGTTTTTGTTTTAATGTAGTCTGCAGACCTGTTTAGCTGTTTTCTTGTATGAGATGCAAGCGAAGAAGACGATTGTTATGACGTGAACACATGTTTATTGGTATGCTACCTATGCCGTCTACATGCAAAGAAAAACCAAAAAGAAGTGACTTGATCGTGGGTCGAAGCAATCTTAGCGAGTGACAGCAGGCAAGGAAAACCTGGAAAAGGGGTACATGTAGCGATGAAATACGTCTTTGCCTAATGCGCCTTGTGATCTGTTGGAATAACGCCCGCTCTTGCGTACACTTCATCGTACTTACCCCGGACAAAGTCCTCGATCCTGATGGGCCCAAACTCTGGGCCTACAGCGGGGTCGTAGCACGACTTCTTAGCCTCAATCATGTAATCAGGGTTGCCCTGTGCATCGTTAGCGGCTATCTCACTGCTACAATGTCGGTGCGTGAACTTACGTGGTACAAGTGCGCAATAGAGTGGCGGTCAGTACCAGAGAAGTTGAGCACGCGATGTACGTTCGAAAGGTACTTGCTGTTGGTCCAGCGTTCGAGTAGATTGCCAAGGTTGACAACAAAGGCGCCTTCCGTCGGTGGCACGTCGATCCAAGACTCAGATGGCGCGTCCCAAACTTCGAGACCGGAGTTACCGTCTTGCAGGAGGAGGGTGACGAAGCCGAAGTCTTTGTGCTCGCCATGGCCCTTCTGGCCAATATCATCCATACGGGGTGGCTTCGGGTAATGGTTCATCTTGAAGTAGGTGATGGGCCCTTCAGTGAAGTGCTTGATGAACTCATTGGTCTCTTCGACATTGCCGTCTACCGACATGGAGACAGCTCGCAGCACTTCAACACTGAGGAAGTTGAGTTGCTCAAGGTAGTCCATGCAGACATCCTGGAAGTCTTGTCCCAGGCTTTCGGGCCAGTAGTTCGGTCCGTGGGCGAACTTCCCAGCCACTACTTGCGGGTGGTCCCAAGATAGCTCAGGACCAACGTAGTAGCCCTCCTTGAGATCTGGCGCCGTATCTTCTTCCTTGTACTTTTGCGAAAGAAGAGTCTGGTAGCCCCGGTTGTGATCGTTCTGGCGCTGATCGAGCTTTGCCTAGCAAGCTGTTAGCACAAATAATAAGATGTCTTAGAATCGCGTTGGCAAAGCATAGCAAGAGGGCTACATACTATTAACAAGTTAGCAAGATATCTTAAGGGCTATTCGTGGCGGCTACTTTACCCTTCTCCTCTCGTGGAAGTGCGAAGAAGTCGGCAGAAGCCTTCAAAATGGCCTTCTGGGTTTCGAGAGATACCGGGTGGTTAATGATCTGGAAGAAGCCATGTTCGACACAGGCCTCATGAAGCTCGCTGAGGCAAAACTTCACACGTTTCTCGTCTCCTGACAAGAAGTCACTGAAGTCGATGGTCTTAATGAGGCCAGGATCAGGCTTTTTTGCCCATGTCTTGATAACGCCCTGAGCTGTTGGCTCAGCCGACGAGGTCAAGACTTGAGTGTTGGCCATGTTGATTGGAGATGTGAATGAAGTGTAGAAGTGGAGATTGAATGAAGTACGTCAAAGCTTGTTTCTGATACACAGAAACACACTATGTTTTCCTATGAATCATTCATGTTATATGAAAGCTCAGGCATGACGGTGACGTCAATAGTAAGTCAATGCCAAAACAATCTGCGCGAGCGTATCGTCAACCGGATTGTTGCAAGCCGTATGAAGCGCATGTCTCACTTCCACGTCATTTTGCACCGGTGAAGCAGTCTCGACGTATGCCAGAGCTAGGCAGTCCAAATTCGGCATGCATGTGCTACCGACATAAGGGTAGAAGCACTTCAATCTCATGCTTCCAATCGCACGTAGGCATGGTGAGGCAGTTTGGGTGATGATTGCGCGAGATGCTGATGATGCATGGCATCGACGATTCACGGTACCACCTGATGCCATGTCGAACCAGAGGATGTGCATACGCGTCGAGTGCTGATGGAGAATCGATAACTGTGTACCCGATCTGCTCATCATGCTCGATGTCACCGACAGGCGCTACGCATCGCCTCCCAACCGACGTCCCCATGGGGAACGAATATACGACAGATGCATGCGGCAGCCGCACGCTCGATCACTGCGGATACGCCCGACCATGGTTCACCTTCCTGTATGCGAGATCAATCAACTTGTGCTAATCCTGGTAAATACGCCAGCATCGCGAGGTGCACGTTGGTCACTGTTTGGTTGACTCGGCGGTTACGCCAGATCCTACGGGGCGGCCGAGTCGCTCATGCAGTAGCTGTAGTCCTTTGAGATATTTGGCTCAGTGCAAGCCAGCCGTATTGTTGACATGCAAGGCCCGGATTCAAGTGCTTATGGCCGTACTAGGTCGACGTTTTGGCGTTCCGTCTTCCAAGGTTTCACCACAACCGGTGGGTTCACGTTACACAAGCGTCTCCGGCGTCAAACCTCACGACAAGTGCGGAGAATCTCACCTGCATCGCTATCATGGCTAGATTAGGCCACTACTCT